AGCCAACATCTATACAAACACCAATTATAAATTAACTTTGACACATTGTCAGATTTGTTCTCTATTTATATGCAAAAATCTACAAACTTTCTCATCAAATTTAAACGCTTTAAGATGAACAGCTCTGACGAGGATTTTCTGTTATTTTTTTTGTTATGTAATTTTTTGATAAATGCATAGGTTCCCTTCAAGTTAATTGAAAATAATTGAACAAATTATCGTTTTTTTTTTTAAATTTTTGTTATTACCTACCTGATATGAAGCTCGTAGGAAACATTTTGTTCCTAACACGTGCGGAAAGTGTCTTTTCCGCACGCAAACACAGTTATACGAACGACGCGAAGCGGAGTTCGGATACGTGTTTGCGCACTTGTTAGGAAAATAACTATTTCAACAAGCTGGTAATATTAGTGCTGCTGGGATTCTGGGATGAGTGTTTGACGCCATTGCCGAGTCGGTTACAGGTGAAGTCACTGGAGACAAGAGTTCTGATCTCAGATCTGGTTGCGGATCTGGTACTGGGTGTTTGTGTATAACTGGAACACTCAGTTACTTTGTTATTGTTGAAAATAGAGGGCATGTTCAAGTTGGAAAATTTCTTAGTAAATTGCAGTCTCAACACGTTGATTGCCACCATGGAAAGCACAAATCAGGTACCCTTGTGCCAATTTTTCCTATATAGTAATTTCAACGTATTCTTAGTCGGGAACACAGAACGTCTCACTGTGCCACGCTTAATTTATTTCTATAGAGAAAATAGGCAACCGTGAACCCTCTGCTGTACAGGGTGAGTCACCATATTTTGACACCCACCTGCAGCCATAATTACAGGTGATAGGTAAAAAGTGTAAATACAAAAGTTATAGCATTTTAGCTGAACTGCCAAAATTTTTAATAAGATTGAATGAGCAACGCAAAGTAAAAAAATATGTCGATGTTCACTTTTTTTAAATGGAATGCCCTTTATTTTCTTCCAAATTCTTAAAGTTCTCGTTTTTCTGATTCAGATTATGTGATATGTGAATGTTTCTTCCAATCATTTTGGAAATATCTGGAAGTAAGTTATTCAAAGACAGTAGTTTTTTGGATATATTTTACCTTGATTTACCTGTCACCTGTTCACAAAACATTTTGATACATGAATAAGTCCTTGAATACCTAAACTCCAGATATTTCCAAAACTATTGAAGGAAACATTAATATATTAAACAATCTGAATCAAAAAAACGAGAACTTCAAGAATTTGAGAGAAAATAAAGTGCATTCCATTTGAAAAAAGTTAACATTGACATATTTTTTCATTTTGTGTTGCTTATTTTTTCAATTTAATTGAAAATTCTGGTGGTTCAGATAAAATGCTACAATTTTTGTACTTACACTTTTCACCTATCACCTGTAATTACGGCTGTAGGTGGGTGTCAAAATATAGTGACTCACCCTGTACCTCGCCGCATAAAATGGAAGAAAAACATGGAGCACAACATGGGAACCTCAACTCACAGACATGAGATTCTTGTGAGGCACTGAACGCGTACCGTTACCACATGGCAGTAAACGTGTTAAGTGCTACAATGATATTTTTTTGTCTCCATAGGTATACGGGACACAGGGTGCGTTAAAAGACTATTTTTTTTCAATGGAACTTCCTGTGAATTTTCGTTATCCAAATAGTGTGTGAAATTTTTGTGAAGCTAATTTTTGGGAATTTTAAAAATTCAAAAACATACAGGGCAACCCATTAAAAAAAATGACTTTTTTGACGCACCCTGTATACTTATGGCGCCAAAAAAACATCGTTGTAGCGATTAAAATCGTTGCAATTAACCAAGAAATTTTCCAATTTAAACATGCCCTCTATTTTCAATGATGAAAAAGTTACTGAGTGTTCCCAGCTATAAACAAACACCATGTACCATTGGCGAATGACTGCTTGAAGATGGAGATTTTGTGTCAACTGTCAGAATTTTGTTACACAAATTTTTCTTTCAAAAGTTACTTTTCCGCTTTTCAAATTCATGTTAGGTATGGGTAGTGTTTTTTTGTTTTGGTAAAATATTTTGTGGTGCGGGCCAACCAGAGATAAATACTATATAAACTGTCGAGAATGGAATCTCAGTGTCAAAATTGAGCCAAGCCAGCGCCATCTACTATATTGGAAAAATTACTATTTACTGCTTTTGCATCGACGCTAAAGACACCTATTTTACATAGTGCTTTAAGGCATTTTTATGATAGATGGCGCCCTGTTCGCATTACTGTCGAGCTGTTCAAATTTGTTTATTCTAGACTTTGAGACATTAATTTTTGCTTAAATTAATTGATTTTTTGTTAATTAGATCAAAAGACAGTTTCTTTAGCGATGGTTAAGGGTATCCTTAACATATTTATTCAAAGTTCTGATTGAACCTGTCACTTATAAAACAACCTTCTTTTGTAAAGTTAAATCTAAGTCTATTACAATAAATCAAGTACAATGCTCCTATGCGAAAAGTGCTGATTATTATAAAATATTGTCACAACTACCCGCTTTACGGGGGTGACATGGGGGGTTTGTAGCTTTGGGGGTTGATGGAGAGAAACTCGCTCAGGTTATATAAAAATATAGATATATATTTTCCCAAATATAACCTTACATGTATGCTAATCCTATAAGATACATGACCCTTCGTACACTGGGGTCCTTATAGGGGGCCACACGTCAATGCTGCTTGGGGGACTGTAGATAAGTTTATCGTCACCCTTATGCCTTGTCCAGAGGGGCGTTCCCAACGAGAGGTAATTGCACTGGACAACGATAAGGCTGAAGATACCCAGAGGGGCGTTCCCAACGAGAGGTACTTGCACTGGGGAGACTTAATTCCAGAGGCGCTTTTCCAACGAGAGGTACTTGCACGGGTTTAAGTCTGCCTTTGCTGCAGCTTGCAACGCAATTTATATCAATTTATTGCTGAATTGCAATAAACATCCGACCGAATCGGCAATTAAATTAATAAGGTTGAATACCGGGTCCTCCTTTCCTAAGTAGCTAGTTGACAATATGCTTATTGCTAATTTCCTATGAAATAACCCAGGGCCGTATCTAGACCCAAATTTTGGGGGGGGGGGTTAGACAAAGTGGCAAAAAAAAATTGTTACACTAGTAATAAAAATTTAAAAAATAAATAAGTATCTATTTAATAAGTGTTGTTTGTTTTTAAGTTAAATTTTTTGAATTTTATTATTTTTTTTTGGGGGGGGGGGGGGGGTTTGAACCCCCAAAACCCCCCCCCTAGATACGGCCCTGATAACCTTATTAATTTGCTTATATCCAATATTGGATATCATAAACTAACTATATACAGAGTGATTTAATAATAACGTATTTCTATTTTTATTCTTACACTACACCTTGATTCCATCGTTTGAACACCCTTTTGCGGAAAAAATCGCATCTTTTATTCGGAGAAAAGCACTTTTTGTGGCTCGTCTTAAATTGTCAAACATTTATGGCCGTTTCCACCAACTATTTTAGGGAAGCCTTAACGATAAGTATTCCCTAAACTGACATTTCTCCATGGAAAACTGTCAGTTTAGGGAATACTTATCGTTAAGGCTTCCCTGAAATAGTTGGTGGAAACGGCCATTAGTCTCGCCACAAAAAGTATCATTTTAGTCCTAATAAAACAATATAGGTAGGTACTATTGTTTTCAATATCAGTTTTCCTTCAAATTTTTAAACTTAGTTTTTTCATTATTTTTTCTTGTATCTCTTGTTCTTTTATTTTTTATTTTAGTATTTTTATTAATTTTCCTTTGTCTTTTTCTTTATTTTTATTTCACTTTTAGTTTTTATTTTTAGTTTTTTTTTTATTATTATTTTTTTATTGTCTTTGTTTTCTATTTTCATTTCAGTTTTACGGTACCCCAGTTAGAATAATTGAATTTTTGAGGTGAAAACTTCTTCAACGCCCCTCAATGCATACGTAACAGCGCTATAGCATCGCCTGCTCAACACGTTGAAAAATTCCTGGCGTTTCGCGAATTTCAGCAGCTGCTGCAACAATCCTTCCCACTAACTATTCCTCTGTTTCAACTGGAGTGTCGTTCACTTTCATATGACATCATAAAAATAAGTCGCATTTGGTCAGGTCTGGTGAACCTGGAGGCCATGCAATAGGTGCGCCCTCAACAAACCTAGATTATGTTTCGTTGAGATGTTCCTTTACGGCTTACGAGTAATGTGGTGGACCTCCGTCGTGTTGGTACCACATGTTTTGTCCGGCATACAGGGGAACAGTTCGGGAAGGGTTTCCTGCAGTCGATATTTTTTCAAGTATGCATTGGGGCGGGTGGTCGTTATTTTGAGCATCTTTTGATATGAATAATTGTTGCTAATAAATACTGCAAGCATTCCTTGGGTTTTGTATTATTTAATAGCACAGTTTCTGATTCAAACATGCTTCTCCGTGATTAAGGTAGCTACCACAGCGCGGACTGTAATGTGCTATTATCGCCTAAGCGAAGCGCATGCGCCTATGGGTTTATCAGTAAAAAAAGTTTATTTTGGCGAGATCTATCATCCCTTTATTTTTGGCAAAATAGTTTCGGAACACCCTGTACTATACATATATCAACTTGGTACAATGTGTATGTATTATAATAAATCCTATAATTATCCTACTCCTGTTATTGCATTCATCTCATTCTCTCTCAGTTCAGTTTTATAATGGTTTCACTTCCACCGCGTGTGAACTGTACGCATTTTTTTCTGTACCTAAGTACATATTTTTTTTTCTATCGTGTGGTCTTTAGGTTCTTGACTTACTTTTTCGATCATGCGCTCTCCAAGAACCGCTTGTACAAATCTTCAATTTTCCTCTTTTCTTTATTTCCATTATACCTTCAATAATTAACCTTTTTTGGCGGTATGCCTTCGATATCTTGGGCAATTTGTTAGCGAATACTCTCGGTCGTCAATTTTGGTGAAGTATAGATAATAACAAACAAATGACAAAAACATATTATATTTGAGAAAACTCATCGTATATTAATCATAATATTATGTATTTTACACCCCTCCAAAATTAATAATATACTCGCTGGCTTTACAAGTGAACAGACTTTTGTTGTCATCATAAGCGTAGCTGTAAGCGTCAGGACAGGCCTGTTTGAACGTGGCTGGATAATTGGTGGGCCAATCGGAGCTTTTGCATGTATCAGCAGTACTGTGAGATCCAGTGCAACAATATTCGTCAGTATGGAAAGCGTTACAAGCTGAGTTGCAGGCAATGACAGTACCATCGTCATTTTTTACTTGAAGTTCGGCTGGACAGATATCGTTGATTTGGGTTCCACATTGAGCTTTTTTGCAGCTGTACTGGCTGTCGTCCCCTTGACCGTTAACAGGTTCTATCTAAAATAATATTTTATTCCTGAATAATGGCTGCACAATAATAAAGACGTGGGATAGAAAATACAGAGTGGCCCATCGAAAACTTACTGCAAGGCATTACAAGCTGGGAAAGATTTGTTTTTGCTGATTCTTCAGGCTCGTTTTTGTACGTAAACAATTATCGGGATTTAGCTCCACACTGAGATAGGCCGGGTAGCTCTTAGATAGCTGACTCGTGATTGAAGTGTTAAAATTATTGAAACTTTTAAATTTATCAATTATGGTGTATTAATCGCAGAGAGAGTATAAATTGTTGAGTTTTTTTTCAAAAACAATGAATGTGGAAATGCGGTCGTGTAACTGTTCAATTAACGGCATCCTGACATACATGTTTCTAAAAAAAATTGTTCGCGAGTTGTTGGTGAAATTTCGCAAAACAGGTCCCGTTCATAACAAAAAGAAGCAGCTTGAAACTCCGGTACCTACTGAATCAACCGACAGAGATAGCAGTATTGGGGCTAGTTGCAATGGTTAGTACGCTGAGTACAAAAAAATTGGCTTTTGCCTTGGGCGTGAGTCGTATAAGTGTCCAAAAAGTATTAAAAAATACAAGTTCCATCCTTATAACCAATTAGTATAAGAACTTGATGAACATCGTTCGTTCAACAAGATTGACCGGTGTGAATTTTTATTATCTCTTCTTTTAACAAATCTACTGAAGAACGAAATGAAAAACAGATAAGATCTACGTTGTGGAAATTTACTCAATTTTACTTACTGAACATGCCTCCGACATTAGCAAAATTAGGGAAATTTAAGGGAAGTTGTGATATGTAAAATAAACGAAAAATTTGTGAAACGTCTAATTTATTATTAGAAAATCGTAGGTACTCGACCTGGAACTCACGAGGGGAAAGAGTACGGCAGAGAAACCCTCGACCTAACATTCCTCAAAACTCAAAACATACTCTGTCATTTTAATAATAATTGTGTGTCAATAAAAGTTTAAATTAGGTACCGTCCCTGTTGTTGTGCTAAAATTCAATTCCACACACTACATTCAATCAACACCACCTATATTCAATACTAAAGCGTTTTTGGTTAGTTAGCCAGTCTGCCAGCAAGTACTGAGGTCCCATTCGAGAGGCTACTCAGCTATAGTTGTTATTTTGAGCCAATCGGGTCTATTCTGTAACTCAAATTGAATCGACAATTGAAAACTTGAATCGATAACTGTGGACATCTTTCCACCGAATATCGCTACACCTTTTCCAATTGTATTTCAGAAGCTGTCAATTGTATTTCAGAAAGTGTTAAATGTATTTCAGAATAGCCAAATGTATTTCAGAACGCGTTAAATGTATTTCAGAATAGTCAAATGTATTTGAGAAAGCATTAAATGTATTTCAGAATAGTCAAATGTATTTGAGAAAGCGTTGAATGTATTTCAGAATAGTTAAATGTATTTCAGAAAGCGTAAAATGTATTTCAGAATAGCCAAAAGCATTTGAAAAAGTGAAAATTCGGCGGAAATAATTCAGGAGGGAGGCGACATAAAAAATTACCTACCTATGTCTGTGCAGTTCTTCCTACGTGAGCTCGACGGACCCAACAGGAGCTTAATAGTAGCATTTAACTATTCTGAAATTCATTTAACACTTTCTGAAATACATTTAACTATTCTGAAATACATTTAACTATTCTGAAATACATTTGACGCTTTCTGAAATACATTTAACTATTCTGAAATACATATGACGCTTTCTGAAATACATTTGACGCTTTCTGAAATACATTTAACTATTCTAAAACACATTTGACGCTTTCTGAACTACATTTGACTATTCTGAAATACATTTGATACCTTCTGAAATACAATTGGAAAAGGTGTAGTATGTTTTTTCAATTTGTTTGCTAGGATATTCGCTCTTCAGGGTATAGTACAGTCATACAATGATTCATCTACAGAAAAAATCCGAGTGAGCCTAAATTCTGTCTACACTTTCATTTTATCTCAAGAAATAATGTATTAAAAGTCCCCACCGATATCTTGTTTGCGTTTCAAGATATTCAAGGTCAAATGTCACAGAATTGAGTTTTTCATAAATATTTTGCTTCCGGCATGTTTTACGACTATTTTGGCTATGAAAGGAAAAAATACTGGAGAACTCTCTTCAAAAAATATTTTTAATATATTTTACGTCAACCCATCAACCGTTTCCAACTTTATTTGCCAGGAAAACAGAGGGTTGCACCCGTTTCCACACTACCTCAGAGGTAAGATGCAACGCGCGTTTTTATTTACACGGTTTCCCCTGTAGGCCTAATCCATGATCTTTCTTGTTGCGAATTTTAGCTGTACGTATAGAATGAGGATGTGCGATCCCCATCCTCGTAATCTGTCCCCTCTTTCACGTCTTCGTCCACTGTCATCTCCTCCAAATTTTCGGTCTTTGTTCCCACCTTCAGAGCCTCGTCGTCTTCTGTTCCCTCTTCCACGTCATCGTCCTCTCTCATCTCTTCCAAACTCTCGTTCTATGTCCTCATTTCCCGATTATCGTCGTCAGGAGGTCAATAGTATCAAAGTCAATATCTTCTTCATCCTACATATTTTTTTCGGTAGCACTATCAACATTTGAGTTGAGACATGACTGATCATGACAATCACCAAACAGTATTGAACATGACAGTCCAACTTTCCTGCACCCGCAATTTGTGTTGCATCCTTTAGTGCAGTTGCAAAAAATGGTTTTTAAAAGTACATCTGGTGCAGGTGGTAATAAAGTCTTGAGGGGCTCCAAAATATAATTATTTATTGTCCATCCTCATTGTTCAGGATTTGAATCCTTTCCAAGCCAATTCTTTACCTGATAATACACTCGACTTAGATGTTGACATGCTGCTGCGGCCGTAGGTGGAAGTGACGCCAAGATCACTGCGGGATTAAGTCGTGTTGATTTCGCAAATGATATGTATCGGTGGTTTTCAATAGATAGGCATTTCTGTTTTAGGAGCTCCATAGATGGCCAGAATAATGCGTGAACCATTTTCAACAATCGTTTCTGCTGTACAATTTTCCTGTTTAAAAACTTCCGCAAATTGATGCAACTCGGGACGCCTCTCGTCAAGGTTGTGTCATACCCAGTGATAGCGTGTAGTAACAACAGATGTCTCTTACAATTTGGATACTTATTTAGGCTAGACGAAGAGTGTATGTTTTTGATTTTATTTTTCCTTTTCCTGGTTTAAGGAAGGAAACATTTTGGTTTGAAGGAGCACATCCTATTAGAAGAACTAATAGATCTACACCTTCTCCAACGATAATGGTGACGTCGGCGTCGTCTCTTGCTTGTTTCACAGCAATATTATTAGACTTTAGTTTGTACATTAGCATTGATATCAATCTAGTTTTATCTGAGCGATTGGATAGGTACCTACTTTTCTTGGCTAAGTGTCACTGGCATTGTTTCGTCAAAATTGACCTCTACGAATCCCGGAATTGAAGCAGTTTGTCGAAGTTTTTCCATTGCTTTTATATTCTTGCTATTGTCACTGTATCCATCAAAGACAACCGTTATGTCAGATTCGAAATGTTTCTGTAGATATTCAATATATTTTTTGATAAGACACTCAAAAGTATAATCTTTTTGCCATGTTACATGATGCAGGAAGAATCCACCATCAATGATGTTCGCAACGTTATCAGCAGGTATTTTATCACACGAAGCATTTATAAAGCATTCATTTAGGAGTTTTCCGCATGCCTGCATTATCAAAAAGTGCTGTAGGATAAGGACTTAACTCGTAATGCATATATTTTTTCAGGTTTTCATCAAATTTCTTTTATAAACTGATTCTTTGGAATAACAGCAAAGGATCTACAGCAACATTCACATTATGAACTTTAAAAGAACTACTGACTGACCAAAGCGAAAGAATCCTGTTTGCACGTTTGAATTTTTTTTTTCACTAAATTGTAGTCAAACAATATTTTGCACTGACTGAAGGCCAATTTTGTACGAATCGTATTGGTTTTTTTTTCAGTACCGACGACACCTGTAGCTAGCGGTATAAGTTGATTTGATCTGGAAAAGGACTATAAGTAGTAAACCAGTCCACCAATTTTTTTACGTCTACATTATCTCTCTTAATGCTTGAGTCTCTTGCATCAACATGTTGAACAGCAGTGTCCAAAGATACATGACGTGGAAAATCCATTAGAAAATATCTCAAATGTCTTGTGATTCATATTATTTTGCAATTCTAGCATACTTGCAGGTATAAATGCGCTGACTTCGCGTACAGGAAATGACTAGCAGCATAGAAATAAGGAAGCATTTTCTTCACGGCGTTTAGATGTCCATCCCAGTTTCCTAACCTCTCAGCTCGGATGAACTCTTTTGCTATAAATACCATATCAATGTATTGTACCCATAAGTGTGACGTGGGGCCTCGAGTTCTCATCTCTCTGCTCATTGGTTGTACGGAAAAGACTTATATAACTGTTTCTAGTAGAGAATTTTTCGCTTTTAATTTTTTGTGATTACGCAAAAAGTTATACGCCTGACAAAAAGCAAGATAATTGAGAAAATAAGATTTTCATGACCTTTGACCTTGAATATCTGAAAACGCAAGCGCGATATCGATGGGGACTTTGAAGACATTATTGTTTGAGGTAAAATAAAGCTGTAGACAAAATTTAGGCTCACTCGGATTTTTTCACCAGATGCTGCTTTTTCCGGCATAATATAACTGGAGTAGTAGGAAAGTCTTAGTAGATTCAACAAGGCCATAATGCACGTTTTGAATACCAAAAATCAAAATCACAAATTGGATTGAACAATCAGTTTAATACAAAATAAAAATTGAATAATGATCAATGGCAGACAACCTTCTTCTCTAGTCTCATTTTCTATCTCCCGTTCGGTACTTTCGTTTTCTGTGGCGCGTCCCGTTTCCAAAAACTTCACAGCGCATACATGGTTGCAACATTTACCATTTGCTTTTCTATAGGAAACGTT